CTTAGCTAGTTGTGGCGAAAACTCTACTATCAATTCTTGACTCACTTTAGGCGACCTAGGCTGAGTGAGCTCTTAGTCAAGAATTCGAAGAGCACTCAAATCATATACTATTTTTAATATTGCCCTAGATATAGATAGCGAATCTATCCACGAAAAGAGGTTAAATTCTGGCAGAAATACACTGAATACATGTCTACTCTAAAGCCAATAAGTTCGCAGCCCAAATCCCGTTGTAGGTGCTGATTAGACGATGGTTTTTGGCAGAAAAGCTTGGATAAGGCCTAAAATTGGAATCAAGAAAAGTAGTCTGAATAGACTAAGCATACATTCTTGTTAAAGAAGAGCTCTTCAATCAGGCTGTCCTGCAGCGCCAGATCATCAAAGGCCTCGTGGTCGGAGGGATCCAATTCGGCAAGGAGGTGTGAATCAGCGTCCAGTGGAAATTCAGTTTTTGCGGCATCAAACTGTGGCAAGTGATCTGGTGAAACACCCATCGAGACTGCAAGTGCCTCCAACGACTCAGCGTTCTTCAACTCAGTCGGAAGATCGGCTGTGAAGTGCCCGGTCCTTTGGACATTCCTCACCTTTGTGGGCATCAAAGCGGCACTAAGGAATGCCGTCGGCGAAGATGAGATGGACATCCGGGCAGATGGCTTGCCAAGTCCTCCGATGGGATCCATTAAGAGCGCGGACAAACCAGGCGAGCTGGCAAGATTTGGCAAATTAAGCAAATAAAAAACCAGCACAATACATAGGACGAATCGCAGATGGCAATGCTTATACAACTCGACTTACAAGAGTGTGAACAAAAAATCAATATATGCGAAGACAATATGGGTTTTGATGCGTCTCTTAGCTTATACGTGTTGAGCTCACTTCAATTTGGAGTTATAGTGCTCTTGATCAGCCGCTGATTAACTTCACTGGAACATTCTTGTTGGCGCTGTTTCTGAGACAATCTCCTTTGATGCTGTTGCAATCGTGCTAAGATTTCGTCCGTTGTATGACGCGCATCATCAGAGCATGGTATCATCCTGACAACCCTATTCAAGCTAATGAGTCAAGAAAACTCGCCAGCGTATCCTTAAATGCTGTATATATGTATATATATATATCCTAAATTTAAGCTCAGAAAAGATATAAAGCGATTCAATTCATGTCAACATAAAACCACGTGAGTGCGTATGTTTGTCTGTGATTTTTTTCCTTAATATGCTCGTATATGTACAAAACCAGAAGTGATGGCTTTAAGTAATTAGAACAACAAAAGTAACGTGTGTTTTCGACCACCATCACACTCTTTATGTTAATATATCTCGTTAAAAATATATTTTAGCCATCACTCCGATTGCGTAAAGTTGGAAACATATGAAGGCAAAAATTTCATCAACTCAACCAGGCGTGTGGCCGACTTTGCGCGATCGGAGTAATTGTTAAAAGTAAATAAATAAATATATATATATATGTATATATATACAGAGAGATAGATAGATATAGAGGGGGTGATGGTCATACAACGGTACAGA